AATTTTGTATTTTCTATTGCAACAGAAAATGAGGATCACGTGGTGAAAAATGAATCTACAAAGTTTTCATCACGAGATCTAAAAGATGAATACAAAAATTTACATAGACGATTTTGCTTTTGCTTACAATTTTTTCCCAATAATAGTCATCACAAACTACAATCTACATGTTCATCTCATAGAAGCTGAAATAAAATTTTTCCAACTCATTTTCAGGAGTGAAGCCTCTCTCTATCCACGGCGACGCATGCGTAACGGTCAAGACGCCGACAGAACAGCTGTACGTTGCCATGGTAACCCCGTCGCTAGGCGTGGCCCTGGGTGGCAACGGGTGGGCGGCGAAGTCATGTGACGAAATCGGACGAATGGCGGCGAAGATGATCCTGAAGGGCCAATGGGACCACGACCTCCCCGGGGATCGGTTCAGAGTCAGATGGGCTGAAAAAACGCAGCCGACATCTAAACTGTAACCCGTTTGTACAACCTGCGACACGAGTAGGAAAACGCTGAACTTTCTACGCGGTAATTACGATTGTTTATCCGTGTTGATTGACTTCACTTTAAAGTAAACAAGCAAAGCAGTGTCTAATGACTGAGCGGGCTACCCAGGCTAAAGGAACAACAATAAAAGTGATAATGATAATAAATAAATATCAATTTCAGACAAATTTCTTCATTCGATGTTTTGCCGCCCTGCAAGTGCTTTCTATGGTTTTAATTTTACCCGCGGAATGTTTCAGTTCGCGTGAGTGGCCTTATTTTATGTTTGAATAGTTGTAATTGCGCTACCTTGATTACTGCTATTATTGTTATTACCACCTACTATAGTCACAAGTACTAGTCGGGCATGATGTGGTTTGCTTGGTTTTATTTACATTATTATTTACATTATTATTTACATTATTTACATTATTTACATAATGTATTCTAGTGTCCGAACCTCCGGGACATCTCAGGTTTAATTCTGGGGATTTCTGATAAATAAATAAACGGCGTCTCTGTGGCAATACAAAAAGACACCTACTGTACACGGTGTTCCAGCATATCTGTTGTTTTATGATCCTACTAGATTGTTACATGCTTTCTTATTCTGCCACATATACCACATGTTTGATAATATATTACATGCTTTATAATCCTAATACGTGTGTTGCATGTTTGATAAACCTGCTACATGTGTTACATGTTAGAGTTACATGTTAAATAAGCCTGCTACATTTGTTACATGGATTATAAGCTGCTACATGTGTTACAAGTCAAGCAATCCTGCTTAATGTATTATATGATCTATAACATGCTACATGCGTTACATGCTACATGCTGTTTGTGTTACATGTTTCATAACTTGCCTGCTACAGATTTGATAATCCTGTCACAAATGCACTTGTATTACATGTTTTATAATATTGCTATTTATTAATTGGGTACATGTATTACATGTGACAATTCTACATGTTTTACATGTGACACTGCTACATGTGTAACACGTGTTACAATCCAGCAGCATGCTTTACATCGTCGGGCTGACTTGTTAGAAAGTTCATCCTCTCTAGCAGCCATGTCCTGCGGCTGTCCTGCCGATGTTTCCACCATGTCCTCGCGCCCACCGCGGCCGTGCCGAGCAGGACCAGCGTGACTCCCGCCGCCTCCAGCAGGTTCGGCACGTGCGACTGGAACACTGAGTCCAGCAGGATGGTGAACGGGATGACCAGAGTCATGAGCGCCGCCGTCACGCCGGCCTTCTCCTGCCCCAGCACAAGTTTCACGGACAGAGACGAGAAGGTGTCGCACAGGCCCAGCCCGATCACGTAGCCGGCGGTCCGTGCCGACATGGCCCAGTGCGGCGTCTCCAGTAGTAAGGTGGCGGCTAGCAGCGCCGGGGTGCCCGCCAGCTGCACGTACAGCACCACGGTCACCACGGACACGCCGCGCACGCCCAGCAGGGAGCGCATCAGCACGTTATTCGGGCCTTTGGTGAAGGCGGCGGCGAGCGGCAGCAGGATGCCGATCGCGAGAGTCAGCTGCGGGTGGGAGGACGAGTCGGCCGCCGTGCTCATCCCCACCGCCACCAGCACCACTCCGGCCGCGCTGCACAGGATCCCGCCCGAGTCTATCGCGTCCAGCCGCTCCCCCAGGAACAGGAATCCGACGCACGCCGTGGACACCGGGATCGCGCCCTGGATCACGCCGAACGCGACGCCCGGCACCACGTACACGAACGACAAGAACATCAGGACGGTCCCCAGGTTGTCTGTGACCGTCGTCGCGGACAGGGTGAGCGCTTGAGGCGCGTCTTCCGTCGTCAGCTTGGGTCTGACGAACGGCAGGATCACGAGAACGCACAGGAGCTGCGTCAGTTTCATCAGGAAGATCAGCTGGAGCCCCGGCACGCCGGCCTGGCTGCTCAGAGCCATGAACTGGGACGCGAAGGCGCCAAACAGAGTACAGGACACGGCCAG